TGCACCCTTTTTGAACGTAGTTTTGTTGCCCTAGCGTGTGCAGTGTGTTTTTTGATTTAGATCTTGTTTCGGTAAGCCTTCTGGCCCCATACCGCCATTGGGTGAAGGCGGTTCACAACGTGGACAGACCACATGGGACCGCGGATCACTTGTGAACGCCATGGGCCCCTCATGTGGCAGAATGTTCCTTTCTCGTCCCATGGGTTTGGGTTTATAAAGTGCGTTTCCAAGAACCCATGAATTACCGGGCGTCAGCCAAGCACATTGCCCGAAGTTTGGGAAACTGCCCCGCGGTGGAGATGTTTCAGGCCAAGGGTCTGGGTGGCAGAAACGCTTCGAGATGAAGGAGCGGTGCAACGAGCACTGGCCGGCCATGACAGGAATCTTCCCCCCAACACGAGATCTTGTCTGGCAAATCCAACATGAAACACACAGGAGCGTTTGAGGCTGGTTATGGTGTGGGCAGGGTTGCGCGGGAAGTTGCACAGTTTGGAAAAAGTGGTGGGAGAAGCAATCGCTGGAAATGGGCGAGTGTGCCAAAATCTTGCCGACATCCCAAATTCGTTCTGCACTGTACGGGTGCTGAATAAAGCGTTGTTCCAGCAAACGTGCAACAAACAAACTGTAGGTGAGATAACTAACAAAGAACTAGTAAAATTTGTGCCTGTAATCTCAACGGTGGCGTGCCCTGCGGGACAAGCAGAAAATCCCGGCTGCCAATGGCATCACGGTTTCAAGTGCGAAAGTTGTGGTTCCAAAACTGCACTTTTGAACTGTGCAGCCACCTGCTGCATTGGCGCATTTAGATTGCAAGTGTCGCCGTAAAAAGTCACCCCGTTGCGCTGGTGAAGGGCCGTCTCCTCCAAACCACCTCCTGCCACAACACATTTGGGCAGAAACGAATCATTGAACAACAACCCCCTCTTGTGAAAGTCATGGCTGCAGGGCTACAGTTCCCACACGCTCCGCCGCAGCCAGTTGTTAATGAAAAACCATTTGGGCAACGCCGGCCTCCAAGACGGGCCTTTCTCCCACAGCTTCGTTGGCTGCAACCAAGGATTTAACCAAATGAAACCAAGGCTTTGGAAGTTGCAGAGTCATGTGTCAAGTCCATCACCCACCGGGCTCAAAGGGTATGGTCAGGGTTTTGTTCATTTTTACACTGATGTCAGAATCATGAAGGAACCAAGTTGGATGCTCAATCCACTGAGAAAACACAGCAGGTCAAGAACAAACAACAATGTTCACAAACAATGTTTACCATAAATTGATTGTTCTTGATGTTTCCACAAACGCTTGCCCCCATGGCGCCCACACAGCAGTGGCAACAGCGGCTTCAAGGACTGCTTTTTTTCGCAGCATGCGTTCCTCCCTGTTTGCACCATAGCTTGAGCTTCACTCCCCAGACTGTTGGACCTGGAACTTTGTGTGTTGGAACATGTTGGAACTTCAACTCTGTGTGTGTGTTGCACTATTGGAAGGCCAAGCTAGGTCAGTTCCAAGATTTAGTTGTCACTTCTAGACAACTGGTGTGCGCCATGTCGTGGCATACAGCCCCCTCCGGTCACATTCAGCCCGGGCCATCTCACACGCTTTCTCCTTCTTTGTTCCGCGGCTAGTGAGGTGGCGGTAAATGGTGCTGTACAGCCGATTCCGGGATGGGGGTAACTTGCTATTCAATCCAATCTCGTGGATGGGCAGGCTAGGTTTTGATGCCTTCTTCTTTGAAGCAGCACTGCGCGCGCCTGTCACTTTTGGACTGGCCTGCTTCTTGGCAGTAGCGTTTGGACCAGCCTTCTTTTTTGCACTGGCTTTTGAACTGGCTTTTGGAGCGGTCTTCCTTTTTGAGCTGGCTTTTGGAGCGGTCTTCCTTTTTGAACTGGCTTTCGCTGGCTTCTTTGGTTTCGTCTTTGGTACAGGCTACAGGCTCAACCTGTCAGCACGCTTCAATGAGAAACTTGCTACTTGAACATTCAATAGCATGGCATCAACTGAAGCAGCCAGGAAACAGATCTCTCAGCATCACTTTTTCCCTGCGACTTCACTTCTTCCAAATCTTTTGGATCCTAAGCAGGTTTCATGAGAGTTCCCTGTCCCCCAACCACCAGAAAACAGTACAGTTCAGGTTCAGGTAATTACAGTGGTGCCAAAGTGACTTGTCCCAAGATCAAGGTCGGCGAAGCACACACATAAACCTCGGGCTCCGGTGCTCCATCCAAATCCACAACCTTGGAACCCAACATCCAAACGATCCAAACAATACAACCAAACAACAACTGTTTCCATGAAACTTGTGCCATTCAACGGTCAACATTAGACCAAGTGTCATCCACAGTCCCTTTTTTGGGGGAAAGAGGCTTGGCGGCAACCATGTCTTGCAGCCTTGCCTGCGGCTCTGCTTCTGATATAGTTGGCGCAGTGCACATGTCTTCTTTGGGGATGTTCAATGCCTCCACGATGTTGGGAATCTCTGCAGAATGCTGAGTGTCCTACAAGTCCAACAAATGCATTATATACAGACTGATCACTTGTTGTAACAAGTTGTGAAAGGGAAACCCAAGTCATCACAGACCCTTCCTGGTCATTGTTGTACGGGTCACTGGCCACTGGGCACGGGCGAGTATCTTCCTCATCGTTGTCATATTCAAGGTCCTGGCAGTGTGGTTGAAGCAAGTGGCTGAAGCAAGTGCTAAGACAGAATGAAGGTTTGGAAAACATGTTTCACTCCTGCAAGTATTGTACCGACCAGTCTTCGGTCCCTTCTGGTTTGTGGTCCAGCCAAATCTCTTTTTGTGGATCATAAAAGATGATGCCCACCGAATCAATGTCATCGTTAAGATAGCCGTGGCAGCTATAGATGATCTTCTTGTCATCATCCTGACTAAATGCAACAAATACACTCATGATGATAAAATTCACACATGATCTTTGCACAGATTCACAAAGACTGTTCCTTGCTCTCATTGGCATCAGTGTCAGTAGCCTACAGCAAATAGCAGAACCATCCATTCATAAAAGCCACTTACAAGCGCTCACTGACTGGAAGTATTTTGTTCCAACTTTGAACAAGTAGCATTCAGTAGATGTCTTTCGGCTTTGTTATCCAACTCCTCCATGATGTCAGCCGGCGTCTTCCCCATCCCACCAACCACAGAATCAGAAGCAATGCTGGAAGCATCATCCTGGCCAGAGCAGGGTGAGTGGGTGGCAAGAAAATGGTTCCTGTTCATGCCAATTATTTGCAACGGAAATGCAATTTGAACGACAGGAGCTGGCCTCCAAACCTTCAACACCATCAGCGCATGTCTTTCCCTTGCGTGAGCGTTTCTTTGATTTGCCTTCATCCTTGGCCTTTGTGGTGTCCTTGCGTGATCCCCGCAAGGCAGATGGCCTCTTCATCGTGTTGCCAGAAGCCCCAGCCCCACCATCCGGATCAGGGCCGTCATGGCCATCGTCGTTCTGGTCATGCTCCAAATCATCAAAGAGCCCTTCCCATTCACCCTTTTTCTGTTTCTTCTTTTCTTTCTTGTCATCTTGTGGTTCCTCCTTCTCATGTTTTTTCTTTTTCTTTGTTGGCTTTTCATCCTCTTTTGATTTCTTTTCTTTCGAACGACCTTTGTGTTCATCCTTCTTCTCACCACTATCATCATCCTTTGAGTCGGATGAAGTCACAGCAGTGAAGGGTTGTAGAAGATTGCCTTAAAAGCAGCACTATCACCACCAACATCCACCAACAAAGCAGGACTATCACCACCAACAAAAGCAGCATTTGGAAGACATGGTCAACGCTTTTCATCACCAATGGGATGAACTTTTTGTTGGGGGGAATCAGTTGTCCAAGTCCTCAATCCCACAGCTGCAATTGGAAAGAGTGCCAAACACCTCCAGGAGACTGGCCGCGGAAACAGCTGTCGAAGCTCTAGCAGGAGTGCTCGCTGACGTCGATGGTTGTGTGCTGACAGCCTGGACCACATCCTGAGCCAGGTGTGGGGTTAAGACATGAATGTAAGAGACTGGTTATGAAGAATGTCACACCCTCTATTGGGATTCACATGCATAACAGTGAAGTTAGACAAATGCATAACAGTGAAGTTAGACAAGGTTCTTCGTACTGAGAGATGTCAAACTCTTTGTGAACCAATGCATTGCCGGCAGACCCTGTAAATATCGATGATTTGCACCTGTTAAAGTGCGACATGAGAACCAGCAGGTTCGTTCTAATCACTGTCCAGGAACCCAGGCTGCGCGAGTGCAAGACAGAAGAAATTAAATATGTCAAATCTTGCACAAGCCTTGCACCTGACCAAAAACGGTTCAGAAGCCACATGCTGTCTATTAGCCACATTATCACAGCACGCTCCCTGTTTCTTTGGGCATCTTGTCAGTGAATCGGTGATTCAGTGATTCACCTGTCCCAAGGTGTGTTCCCTCCGCACATCAAATGTGCAGTGCCCCAAGTTCACAAAAGCGCACGCATTACAGGCTTCCCAAACCATAGTTGACCAGCAAGTGCATTGACTTTGGGTGTTGCTGTTGTGCTTTTGGCTTTTGATCCTAGAGAAAACTAGAGAAAACATCAATCATAGAAAGCTTTGTTTGTATTTTATTTTTGCATGAGTGGAAACTTGCAGTGCGACCTACGTAGGTGAAGAAAAACCTCAGAGCAAGCGATACATCTTGTCAGATTCGCACTCCAGTAGACCTGGAAGATATGCCACAGGACGGATCGGGACCAAATCCTTCTTCGCGGCGTCCTGCTGGTCTGGCTGGAGCCTTGTCCGAGCAAGGGTGAGGGGTTGGACTGGTTTGGATTTCAAGTGATTCTGATACAGGAGTGGCACGGTCAAAATTCATTATAATGAATGACAATGGAGGATAGCCTGAGCCGCCAAATGATCACCATCGTGTCATTGGTCCTCAACTTGGGCACATTCATTTTGGATCCAAAGGTTGAAGCGTGCCCTGCCTGAAAAAGTAACAGCACTTCAGCTGAAGAATGTTTAGGGCTTTGATCCTTTGTGATTATAAACCTCACCAGCCTTCTTGTTCTTTTTGTCTTCTTTCTCCGGGTCCAAGTAGAAGCAAACAGCTTGCTCTCGTCTGAACAGCGCGCCGCCGGATTCCTGTTCATCGGTTGCGTGCATAGATAGCTTGACATTGACCTCTCCAAGGTTCTGAAGAGAAGTCAAAAGGTCACCAAACGGGATGACCTTAGATGTGCTGCCATTGGACACCAAACAACACTTGTTTTAGTCTCGTAGCATTGGCGCTCGTGACCCTTTGTTATTGAACATTGGTTCAATAAATTTGGTTTGAACTGTAGGGTTTGTGTTCTAGATGGTTCTGCGTTGTAGGCACAAAACGATTGCACTGCAACTGGGCCTGGAGACTAACTAACATAACTTTTAAGTTGAGCGTCAGTGCCAAAGATACTGCTCTTCTTGATGTGTTCGGGCAGCCGCTTGTCTGCCTCCACAATGCAGAGATCCAAGTGGCTGCGCACCAAGAAGCTCACCCAGCGGCCGCCACTGTCCCCCATGATATCAGTGGCTTCAAGACCAGTTGCAAATGCACCTGATCCAAAGCTGAAGAGCTCTGCTGGCCCCACCAGGGTTGTTTCCTTCTTTTTTCCTTCAGCGCAAACCCAAAGCTGCTCTTCATTTTTGTCGTAGACAAGTCTGAAGGTCCCGCAATTCAAAACCAACCTAAAGTTGGCTCCAGTTGGAAGCATGAAACAGTCTGCACTGACATTGCTTCAAAAAGCAAGTGGGTAGCAAACATAACAAGCATACAGCAAACAAAATCACACCCAGTGGCTTCTCTGCAATGTTGGCCTCGTGGTCACTGGCCTTGACGACATCATCGATTCGAATCTTCTTGGCGTCACGGCCTTCGACACTGCCTCCCGTGCCTGACCCACCATGGTCCAAGGAGCGCTTGACTCCACGTGGGTTGTATTTCTTGTTGTGTTCTTCGAGCAATTCTTGGGTTTCACGCTGGAACATGTCATGCTTGGTCGACCAAAGCTCCACCAAGTTCTCCTGGATCGCCAGGTCGCCATTGGGCAGCGGGATGCACACTTCATATGTTGGCTGCGGAAGGTTTGCAGCCTGCTGTAGCTCACTGGCCGCTGCATCAAAGTTGGGAAAACCCTTCAGAAAGGAAGGTGTCTCCCGCCCATATCCAAAGATCTTCTGTGCAACGGTCGATGCAACATAGTCGGCCTCAAACTTGCTATGGCAAGCCGTTCCACACGCCCAGGGCACACCTCAGTTCACCCATGGAAGCAGTGCTGCACACCCTATGTTCAAAGTAGAGTCCAGTCAACCAAATAGGTTCAATCACATGCAACGGTTCTTTTGAACAAAGGGACCGCTCACCGATTTGCCCAGTGCAAACAAAGCTGGCCATGCATCGTACCCCAGAAGATCCAAGATCACGTTGTAGGTTTGCCCGCTGTCATTTGCAAGCAGGCCCGCCATCACCCGGTCAATCACAATTGCTCCACCGAGGTGCTGGCAGGGTACAAGAAAGGTTGGGTACAAGCAGTACAAAACTTTGGGAGCTTTGAGGTTCATGCATTGTGTGACCCACCCAGCCTGCTTCAACTCTTGCACAGTGGTCAAGCGGCCTTCTGAACCGAAGTGTTTGTTGGTGCGTTCAACCTTGAGCATGTCGGCACGACCAAGCATGGAGATCCCAACCACAACGCCACTCTTCCACGCTGAGCTCTTCCAGTAAACATTGCCCTTGTCCTGTGCAGTGATGCACAGTGCCTGGTGACTGCCCTCCCGGCTTCCATAGGTTGTCGACTCATCAAACACCAGGGTCACTGGCTTGACCTCGAACAATAGAATTGCCCCAAATCACACTATGGCAACTGGGCAAGCAAACAAAAAGATTATGCAATCAAGCGAGACCCAAGCCTTGAGGGCACGGTCTGGCTCCATGAAGTTGCAGGTAATCTTATACCTGAAGTCCCGCAGTAGCGACTCAGCCGTAGTCTTCTGAGCACCTTCGCCTTCATCGTCATCATTTTCCAGGTCACTTCCTACAGACAAAGCCGCTGGATACAGACTTAGAAGACAGGGCTGCAATCAGAGATATTGACTTCTTACACGCCGGTGCAATCAAAGATAATCAAAGGATGGTGTCCTTTCGACTTCTTGATATCAGTTGCAGCTTCATTGTCTGACTCTGCATCGCCCTTCACATCTGACCTGAGTCTCTAAAAGCAAGTCTAAAGAAAAAGAGAACATGGCCTTACGCAACATGTGCAACAGTTAACACTAACACACAGTTTCTGCAAAGGTTCTTTGTCGGTGAAGTTCGCAGGTCTGCAGCCCGGTTTGGGAGAAGGATGATGGCCATGAAGGTTTTTGGATGCTGATGGGCCAAGCTAGTCACTTGCTCAATAGTGAAGAGGAGCTTTGAGGCGGAGACAACTCCAGCGCTGGTGTAGTTGACCCATGCAAAGATTCGTTCGTTCTCGGACCTGCGGATACCACTTGCTAGGCCGGCAAGTGTCTCTTGGAGCCATGGTTGACACTTGGCACCAAAAGTAGTTGCTTCTCCCTCACAGTCCACACCTGGCATTCTTTCTTCAAGCAACCTATCGTCACCACTTGAACAAAGGAAACACATGGTTGGTTTGGAAATTTGAAGGAACAAGTCCTTGAGTCGTCTTCTTGCTGCTGATGTTCCAGGTCGGCAAGTGACAAGATGCATACTCATTCACCAACGACCATGCAGTCTCATGCATCTTCTGCAGGGGCATGCAGCGGTAGGAGAAAGGCAAAAATTACAGAACTCCTTTCAACCAAAGGTTACAGCAAACTTCACATCCTGCCTCCAGGGAGTGAACCAGGACAGACCTCGTTCGTGCACTGGAAAGCTCCACTGAAGCACGGTGTCTGTCGTGCACCACTTGGTCGTTCGAGAGAGAAGTTGCAAAGAGTTTGAACGCAGCTGCCAGCGAAGTTTTGCGAGCGCTGAGTACACTGCTTTGCGCATCCTCAATGTATTTGTCCTGTTGAAGCCCTGCGCTCTCAGCAACAAATGGCAGCTTTCGGAAGTCAAACTTGGGGTCTTTTCCCTTGATTTGAACTCGAAGTTCACCATCCAATGCCCTTGGGACAGGGTTGGCGTTTTGAAATGCACAGCTTGGGGCTACTTAGTGGACTTGCTACTGGGCAGTTTTCACACTAAGGAATCCCAGATCAAACTTGAACAGAGAGCCCTGGCAAAACACAGTGTGTCTTGTTTGACAGCATGTTTTTTCAATCGTGGGTATCATCATTAAGGACACCGACGATGCCAAACTTGTAAATTCAAAGAGCAACCCCTGATAATAGACCATGCCAACACCCGACCTGTTAAACCATGGTGAAACGGATTCTGCAATGAACACTTTGCCACAAGTAGGGCCTAGGGAATGGCTTGATTGTGTGGAGCGTCGGCAGCATCAGCGCATGTGATGTTCAACCCTTGTAAGTTAAGTGCTCAACCCTTGTAAGTGCTTGAAGCAGCTGTTTCTTTGGCAGTTGCTGTGTTTTTGTTGCCAAGAGAAACTTGCTGTATACCCGGTGGTTCCTGGGGCTTGACTCACTAGTTTGCTTTGCTGGATACTTTTAGCCAGGTATCGTTTCTTGAACCTTTTTTTGGGTTCCCTGCTGCAACTGCTTGCCCTGCTCTGGCAATCTGTGGGTGAGTACTGTGGTTGCGCTTGCTGCCCTGGGATGACTACTGCGGTTTTGTTTGCCGACCGGGGATGAGTACTGCGGTTTTTGT